TAAGCCTATGCTTATGCATCAGGCTGAAAATCCGAGGGCTTTCAAGGGAATCTGGAAAGCATCACTTCCAGTTATATAAACAATTTGGATGAGAATATAGGAGGCATGGTTAGTAGTTTGCAGAAGACACTAAAATTGGTGATGTAGTGGACAGTGAAGACGATTATCTAAGAAAACAACAAGATCTTGATCAGCTGGGCTATTGGGCCGAGGACTGGCAGGTGGAGTTTAATTTAGGTAAATGTGAGGTATTGCATTTTGGTCTGATAAGCCAGGGCAGGACTTACACATTTAATGGCAGGGCCCTCGGGAGTGTTGTCGAACAAAGCGACTTAGGGGTGCAGGTACTTAGATCCTTGAAAGTCGCGAGACAGGTGGACAGGTTGGTAAAGAAGGCATTTGGTACGCTTGCCTTCATTGGTCAGAGCGCTGAGTACATGAATTGGGACATCATTTTGCCGCTGTACAAGACATTGGTAAGTCTACTTTTTGAGTACTGCATACAATTCTGGTCACTCTACTATAGGGAGGATGTTATTAAACTGGAAAGGGTGCAGAAAGGATTTGCAAGGGTGTTACTGGGACTGGAGAGTCTGAGTTATAAGCAGAGACTGGATAGGCTGAGCTGTTTTCTTTGGTTTGTAGGAGACTGATGTTTACAAAATCATGAAAGGCATAGATAAGGTGAGTAGCCAAGGTCTTTTCCCCATAGTAGGGGAGTGCAAAACTAGAGGCCATAGGTTGAGGGTGAGAATGGAAATATTTGAAAAGGACTTGAGTGGCAACATTTTCACACAGACAGTGGTGCATAAATGGAATGAACTGCTATACAGAAGTGGTAGAGGTGGGTACAATTACAATGTTTAAAAGACATTTGGACAGGTTCATGAATATGAAAGGTTTAGAGGGATGTGGGCCAAATGCAGGCAAATGGGACAAGTTTATTTTAGGAAACCTGGTTGGCATGGATATGTTGGACCAAAGGGTCTGTTTCCATGCTGTATGACCCAATGGTTCTATGACATATTTTATGAAGGTGGCATGGTGGCTTGATGGTTAGCACTGCTGCTTCATATTGCCAGGGATCTGGGTTTGATCCCAGTCTGTGTGGATATTGGGGGAGGGTTACAGGGAAAGAGTAGGGGGGTAGGTCCAGGTGGGATGCTGATTGGAGGATTGGTGTGGAGTCAATGGGCCAAATAGCTGCTTCCACACTCTAGGGATTCTATGAGCTCTATATATAGATCAGAAATGGGATTGATAGGGTGATCTGGGTAAATTGTTAGTGATTCTGAACAGTCTCAAGTTGTCTTTTTTCTCGGGGATTTATCTCTGATTTGAAAGTCTGCTATACTTTGGCCTAGTCAGGCCATTTATTGTGGTGTACAATTGTGTTGTCATATATAATGTGTGGTCTAGTTTCCTGCTGAAAAAATAAATGTACAGATTGGCAGAGATGCCACAGGTAGCAAACCAAAGGATGAAGAATTTTGAGTTAGGAGAATGAAATTCTGGGAGTTCAGGAGTAGATGTTCCACAGGAGAAAAGATTAAAAAATTAAATAAAGCAATGGCCAGGATGAAGTGTGGTTCAAAGTGACTGCTGATGAACTTACCAGTGAATGTTACTTAGGGGTGGCAGGCCTAATGTGAGAGGTAGGTCAAGGGTGGTTATGTACATTAATGGGAAACTTTGTCCTCTTCTCCTGAAACTGAATTATCATAATGAAAAATAAGGAATGATTTCAGACACAAACAATGTCACTGACACTAAAAAATCACAGCTTAAAAGCTGAGTGCATTTAGAAGGAAAGGGTTCATGTTAAAGGAATGTGCTGGAGTGAAAACTGAAATTACTGGAGAATTTCAGCAGGTCTAGCAGGCATCTGTGGAGAGAAAGCAGAGTTAACATTTCAAGTCCAATTACCCTTTTTCAGAATGGAGCAAATGTGCTAGAGTGTCTGGAGTTGTATGAGGGTGGGTGTTGATTGTAAGAAATGTGAAGGAAAGGGAATTATTCAAGTGAGGAAAACATTCTGAAAGACTATGGAGATGGAACAAATTGACTATAGGAGCCAAGTGCCACTAACACCATTGCATTTGGCAGGAAAACTGATCAAATGCGCAACAAATGATTTTGATTTAGAGGAAAATCATCCTTGATAGCTTTGTTCAAGTCCTGTGTAGAAACTTATTCAGAATAGTAATGTGGATAGGGCAATCTTGTTCAAGAGAGGAGACAACTGCAGGGAAACATTGAAGGAATAGATACCTAGACACATATGTGAGATACTGGTAAGAGTATGAAGGTGTAGAAAGTGAATTGGAAGCAAGTTAGAGAAATGAACTGTCAAAAAATAGAGAAACTGATGAGGTAACTTCTGAAACAGAGAGATGAGCAGCTCCAATGGTTGTTCAGTGAAAGATAGCGGCATGTATAATGATCGGCTTTTGTGAAGATGTCCAATTTAGCCTAAAGATAAACTCTGATTTCTATACTAGAGAGATGCAGCCTCCAGGCATGATACAGGCCTGCAGTGGCTTTAAGACAGTAGAATTAGATACAGTAGTGAGTCAACAGGGGCAGTCTTGTCAGCTATTAAAAAAGTTTTTATTTCTCTCCACATCTCCTTGTTTAATGTCAGAGCATGCAGGAGGGACTAAATTGCGTACTTCTGCTCCTACTTTGTATGCTTGTGTGATTATCCACTTCAGACTGTGACCACATATTCAGAGGATCCACATAGAAATTATGCCTGATTGAAACATATGATATTATGTAGCCTTCTGCCTTATAGAAATATAGTGTCATGCATTTCTTGTTCCTCATGCTTTGAAATTTTCTTACTAATCCCAATTTCAATTCCAACTGGAAACTGACTTTATCTTCTTTGTCTCATCCTTCTCCATATTAGAGTGATTGGACAAACTTGATTTGTTTTCACTTGAACATCGAAGGATGAGGGATGACTTGATAGAAGTTTAAAAGTTATCAGTGGCATGGATAGAATGAATAGTCGGAGTCTTTTTCCCAGGGTAGAAATATCAGTTACTGAGGGACATAGGTTTAAGGTAAAAGGGCGTACATTTAAAGGAAATGAGAGAGGTACGTTTTTTACACAGAGCGTGGTAACTTCCTGGAGTGTGCTGCCAAAGTGGGTAGTGGAGGTGGATACAATAGCAATGTTTAAGAGGCATATATGCCAGATACTTGAATAGGTGGGGAATAGAGGGATATAGATCACGAAGAGGCAAAGAATATTTAGTTTAGAAAGGCATCATGTGTCGGTGCAACAACCTGTTCCTGTGCTGTACTGTTCTTTGTTCTTTGTATTAGTCACTGATACTTCCTCTGCTGCCCACTATTCTCTCATGATTTACCATTGTGTTAACTGACTAATGCTAGTGTACCATGTGATAATCTCAACCAAGTGCCTACACACTCAGTTTGTTTCCAATTCATAAATGTGTAAGTGTTACTAAAGTTAAATACTTAGGTATCTCCCATTCAGATTTAGCAAAATGTTTTGAGTGACTTCATTTCATAAAAAATAGTCTAGCAAGCAAGTACCACCTCTTCTCTTGGATGATTTTCCAATTACAGCTTTTTGTTATTTCTGTATTTTATCACTATTTTAATTGTCAGTGTTTCGCATATTCAGCTATGCTTCTTTTCTAAACTTCAAAGTGTTTTTTTGAGATTTAAATAATTTTTCCCATGTCTTGATTAAAATTATGAAACATGTCAATGCTGGAAGCAGTAATTTCCTGAGTCCTTTGTCTTTTCACAAACATTAGGTTTTAAAAATCAGGCTTGGCATACATAGTAACTAATTACATACTTGCTTTACATTTTTATTTTATTCTTTTCCAATTTGGTGGTATCGCCACTGTAGGGCCTTGTCTTCCACCTGAATATGCCAAAGAGAAAACAATTAGACCAAGGCTCTCAGAATGTCACAAGGCCCAAGGATGGCATTATTTATCACACAACATAACTCTGTTTTTTTAAAATATATTGTGTTAATTACCATTAGATTTTCCCATTGCTTAATAAATCATGACACCACCGTCACTCTCTGTAATATCCCAGGAGAGAGCGCTGCATAATTCTTCCAAAGGTCTGCTAAACTAATGTTCTACATTATGTACAGATATCATGGCCACATGGAAATTTGAATATATTGTAATTATTTGTGTGATTGTTCAATATTAATGATACAATAACTTAAGGAATATTATTGAAATGTATTGCAAATTGTTTTCAATTTTAAAAAAAAGCTGGTCTAGTGAAAACCAAAAGATTGCATCCTCAGGATTTCCATTGAATTGTTTTGAAGAATCATTTCACTGTAATGGTTTTAAGCCAAGTTTAGTTTTAAATAAAGTATAGGTTCAGGACAGCTTATATATGGGTTGAATGTTATTTCCAATTCTGGATTTGTTTTCTTCAGTTTCTCTACTGCAAGATGCACTGTAACCATTACACCAGGCTCTTTAGATCCATACTCATCATCAGAATGTGAAGAAGTCTCGAAGGTATAGATTAATATGATTAGTATTGCTACACTACAATATTGCAATGCACTTTTTGTGGCACTTTTTTGTGACACTTCTGAATCTTGCATCTCCTGCCCTGGCCATCCCCTTAAATTCGCTGGAGAAAAATAGCAGGGTCATTGCTGACCAGAACCTTGATCTTGTACAAATTAGACAACTTTAATGAACGGGTTTGTTCACCAAGCGGACGTTGACATGATGAACCGGCCAAGCAAGATGTACTTGCAATCGGTTATCAGTTTCTCTGGGGAGTATTGAACGAGTATGTGAGTGGTGTGAAGGATGAATTTAAATGAGGGACGGGCCAATGCAAATCACAGTTAACAGCAGAAACCGGCAGCTGCAGCCCTGTCTCTCTTCCCCCTCTCTAACACACACGTACAGACTAGACACTGAGGTCCGGAGACACAACAAAGGCGTTCAGCATCTCGTCCTCTGCCTCTTTCATCCAGCCCAAACAAATAACAGGAAGAAAATCTCCTCGAAATAAAAGCGCCTCGGGATCCACGTTCACCTGCAGATTTTGGTATGTATTATGTTACGTTTCTTGTAATCAAATTCACTTCGAGCAGGGATCAAATCATGCCATGATAGGCGTATTGCTTAATAAACATTTTCTTAATTGATAATTTCGAGATGGGCATTTTTTCATATTTGATGCTGACAGTGATGGGACGTGTAGGCTTTTAATAGTACATTCCCTTTGTTGTAAGTCAGCCTCGGTTTAACGGACTGCAATAAGTTCTAAAGCCAGATATATTTGTCTCTTTTCTCTCTTTTAACAAATGATCATTCTAGATCACATCAATATGGAGAGAGATTTGGAGTTTGAACATTTTGATGAACGAGACAAGGGGATGAGGTATGGCAGAGCGTCCCGGTTGAACGGCTTACCCAGCCCCACACACAGCGCCCACTGCAGCTTCTACCGGACCCGCACCTTGCAGACCCTCAGCTCTGAGAAGAAAGCCAAGAAAGTGCGTTTTTACCGCAATGGGGACCGCTACTTTAAGGGTATCGTGTATGCGGTGTCCCAGGACCGCTTCCGCTCGTTCGAGGCTCTGCTGGCTGACCTGACCCGAACTCTGTCCGATAACGTCAACCTGCCCCAGGGAGTCAGGGTCCTCTACAGCATCGATGGCGTCAAGAAAATCACTAGTCTCGAAGAGCTGGTGGCAGGTGTGTATTGAAACCAAAACCGAACAGCAAACAAAATGCACGTTTAGTTCATTGATGAGGCCCCAGCAATGGCTGCATTGGATTGCAGATTAATCCTGTAAGCAGCTGCTGTGTGCAACTGGACATCACAGAGTAAAATATTACCGCACCTTCTCCCCTTCCAAAAACACACACAAAAAGAAAGCCTTTTCACAGGCAAACACAGTTCAGAACAAACTCCTTCCTTGTGATGCCTTAGGCTGATAATAATTTGAAATAGTAAACCGTCTTAATGAAAATGTCAAAGCAAATAAGATTCGTTCCACTTTTTTTTCTAAAAATTGGACCAAATTTAATTCCACAAACAGTTCACGGGAGAGAAGGAGAAACGCCGAGCAGTCAGTAGTGTCATGCATTGAATCACAATCAAACTCCTTTTTAACAGCGACGTTTCTTGTTTGTAGATTCTCCCAGAACAGATAACTTTCAATGAACTGGAGCAAGATTTCTTTCAAAGCCTGCACCCAGCCTCTCCCCACACCCATTATTTTGCAGCTTTGGGTTTTTGTTATACATAATAAGGGATTCGAACATTTCTGAATCTTCGATTGGCATTTATTTTTTATTCCTTGTTCACTGCAACCGACAGAAGAGGAGTGAACTGCCGGAATAAGAACAGGGTCCACTGATATTAACAATCTGTAAAGAATATTAATATTCCGATTTATATTGCACTACGATTATAACAGTAATGTAGGGCTATGGGTGTATTGGCTGAGTGTTTAAAAGACGGAAATCATAAAACAAGCCAGAAAATAGAACAAGGATAATTTCATCCCGCTCCCCTGATGCTACAATTACATTAGGATGCATATGCAATCTGCTGACGACGTGATTTTTCACAGCTCCCGGCGGTAACAGTTAATCATCTAATAACATTTTTACACCTACACTTGCACCTTTAGTTCGATAAAATGGGTGTTATAAAATAAATATGTCGAAGACAGTATATAGGAACGTGCAGCATATCTGCAATGACACAAAGAAGATATCTGGGTGGAGTCAGCTTGCTTTCCTTTATTCAGCTTCAAATGTTTGTTGCCACAAATTTTCATGCGTTATTGTATGGAACTACATTCTTCTAATTGAAGTAAATTTTCAATGGGTCATTCGTGAATTGATGGGTAATTGTTGGTGGCATCATATCACGCGTGTTACAGCATCATTGTTGAGCTGTACCACCGAAAAAGCGGTTTGCTCTACTTATAAGTCAAGCCTTCTCCACACACCCAATGCTCCCGGTTTGCTTTGCTAAAGATTCATATTTCAGTCTATTCCTTTTGGGTAAATCATTTGGCAAACAATTAATTTATTGATTAAAAATCTTGCAACTTTGATAAATGATGATGGATGCTCTTGTGTGGTTAATTGAAAGGAGTCTTAAAAAGGGTTTGTGTAAGACATGCGTTTTTTTTTGATCTGGAAACCTGATATTTCCTTTAACTTGAATCTACAAAAAAAAATCAGGCTACAAAGAACAATGATTCAAACCAAAATGCACAGTATCCATCTCCTTAGCTCACCTTTAACCCCGATTCGGAATACTTGGGGATGCTGTTGCCGTTGACGACTGTTGGTGTTGTGCTGTGCTAAATGGGATTTAGTAAGGATAGCTTTATGGTTGAAAGAGTTTATCTATTTCAAAGCAAGAAGTGACCCTTTGTGGGTCCTGCAGTGACTGGAAAGAGTCTGTCAAATAATTCCTGGCAAAACATAAGGTCATTTCAGGTTAGTGGGAAAGGTGTGAGTGGTAGGGCTGGAGGTTTCCTGTTCACCCACCACCCTCCAAGGGAAATGCAAATACAAAATTGTTTTTCATTGAGGTGTCGTTTTTTTAGATAAAAAAAACTACTATAACTAACTGTAAAGTGTAATCAGTGGAAAACGTTTAATCCACTCCTTTGTGGTCAATCTGGCCTAGACCATTATTGAGTAACTCTTTCAGAAAAGTCTTGAAGGTTGACAATATAAATGAAGGGTCCATTTATCTAACTCAGTCATTCATCTGTTTAACTTAATAATTCAATATTCTACTGGACTGGTTGATCATTGCACACAGCATTAATTGGACAAAATAAAAACTGAAAGAACTGCAGATGCTGTAAATCAGGAACAAAAACAGAAGTTGCTGGAAAAGCTCAGCAGATCTGGCAGCATCTGTGAAAAAAAAGTCAGTTTTGGGTCTGGTGACCCTTCCTCAGAACTGTTTTGATTTTCTTCCTGATTAATTAGACAAGTTGGGCATTAAGTTTCGTAAGACCCTTTAACTTCACCCTTATCTACTTCAGAGCAGTTTGCCATTTTCTATCTGATATATAATTATTTATCTTTCATTTGCCCTTGTTATTCTCATAAATCTGACACAGACTGTAACGTGAATTATCAATGCAGTTTTACTGCCCAATCTAATATAATGTAGTTTGTAAATTTGACCACATTACCTTGTTTTTCCAGTTAAGAGATATAGATGCATCAAGCTTTCGAGTACCCATTTGACTCCTCAATCCTTGTCTCACCCATCCGAAATTAGTCATAACTATTACCATTCTGTCTGTCCCTCAGCCAATTCATTACATTTCTCCAGCTTTATCTTCAATTCTCAAATGTTTGAACATTAGTAATCGTTTTCATTGTGGAAGTTTGGTCAGTGCATTTCCTTCAAGTAATAGTTGAGATTCACATTTGAGAACAATGGCATGAAAACTACTCAAATAAATTCCTTCAGAGTCTCCCTAAATGATTCAAGAAGACAATGAGCCTACCTAAATGATTCAAGAAGACAGCTCATCATCACACTCTCAAGACCATTTAGGGCTAGACAGTAAATGCTGGTCCAGTCAGCAATGCCCACATCCCATGAATGAATAAAAAAAGTAATATAAAGTTACGTACAATTTTCCATATGTTAGAGGACTATATATACTCATAATTTTAAAATACTTTAATTGTGGGAGAGGGTGATAAAGCTGAATGTTTCATACAATATTATGAATATTCAGTATCCCTAAATTGCTGTATTGAAGTTACTATTTACAAGTACCCAAGTAATCCTTACGGGTACTTTATAGTTTGTGAAAATGGTTGTAAATCCAAAGGCAAATTTTGGAACTATCAATCTTAAATGATTTAGATCTGGGTTGGGGGCACAATATGAGTGGTTAACATTTTGGGTACAGCTACCTGGAGGAAGTTACTTCAGGAGAACTGAGACAATTTAGTAGATAGACAGATTTTAGATCAAATTTATTGTGGAGAATTTGTTGGTACAAATAGGAAGGAGGATTAAGGGGGCAAAATGTAATATATGTTAAAAGGAAAAGGAATAAACAGGTTCAGATAGACAGATGGAGTGGGATAGGGAAACTTGATATCTAGCAAAAACGAGCATGAAGCCAATGGAGCTGGTGTCGAACAGACTGAACTATTTTTGGTACCATGTGCGTGAGGAAGTGCTTTCTGGCATCGATTCTGATTAGATTACCTCTAATTTTTAAGGGACTGTTCCCTCAATTAGTGTTTTTGTACAGGAGTAAATAGTTTCTATCTAAATTTTCAGCTCCTTAATCATTTTAAACATCTTCTCCTTAATTTCCTGTATTAAGTCAATTCAAGCTGAGTCAATGCAACCAGGTCTCATAATTTAACCTTTTAGCCCAGTATCATTTGGGTGATTCTGCATTCCACCACCTCCTTTGTGAATAGATCCGTGGTGTGTGAACTGAACTGAATGCAGTATTCCAGATGGGACTAAACAGAGCTTTCTACAGCTTTAAGATAGTATTCACCCCATTTCAGTTCAGCCCTCTTGAAATAAAGACCTACTTTTGATTAGCCCTTTAAATTATTTATTGTCCCTGTTCACTAATTTTTAGTAATTTTGATCACTCAATCTCTGTGACCATCCACAATATCTAGCTTCTCAACATTTAGAAAATACTCTGACATATCTTTCTTCGATCCAAAGCGAAATATATCAATACCTTTCAATATTAAAGTAATTTGGCCACAGTTTTACCCACTCGGTTAATTTATTAGTTTATTTAAGATTTTCCTTTCCATCTACACTATTTGATATGCTACCTATGTTTCAGCAGCAAATTTAGATGCTCCACTCTCTATATTTATAAATAATTTGAATGAAGGAATAGTGACAAGCCGAGGCCTCATTACAGATCTGTTGGTGACAGATCTAAATTGACGATACATCTCTGTACTTCCTGTTTCCGAACTCCTAAACAATTCACTACCAAGAATTACAGGTTGCCACTAATTTCTTGTGGCTTCATAATTAACAAAAAGTGCTGATAATATTCAATGGGTCAGACAGCACTTGTGGAGAGAGAAAGAGTTTCAGGTCAATGGTAGTTCACTAGAACAGGAAGAGTTAGAAGTGCAATAGGTTTCAAGCAGGGTGGCCTGTTGGGATAATGAACAAAAGGGAAGTCCAAAAGCAAGTTGCTGGAAATCTGGAAATATTCAGTAGGTTGGGTAGCATCTGTGGAGAGAGAAACAGAGTTGAAGTGTCAATTTTTGACTGATGGAGGGTCACTATCTAAAATGTTATTAAAAGTTCTGTGTTGGAATCATTATGGCACAGAAGGAGGCTATTTGGCCAATCAAATCCACACTGGTTCTCTGTAATGCAATCTAATCAGTCCTGTTCCCTTGCTTTATACCCCTGGTCTTGTAAGTTCATTTTCCTCATGTACCAGTCCAATTACCTTCTGAAATCATTCTTTGTCTTCGCTTCAAATGTCACCATAGGCAGAGAGTTCTAAGTAATTACTACTATGGAGTATAATGTATTTCCCTATCACCCTACATCACTTGCCAAAAACATTAAATCAGTGCTTGCACTATCAGTAGATTTCGCTCGCCTATCTTATCTAAACTTGTTATGATTTTGTACACCTCTCTGAAATCACCCTTGAATCATCTTTGGTCCAAGGAGAACAACCCCAGCTTCTCAAGCCTAACATATTAGGTTCGAATCCCGCTACGGCAGATGGTGGAATTTAAATTCAATAAATATCTGGAATTAACAACCTAATGATGACCATGAATCCATTGTCAATTGTCGGATAAACCCATCTGGTTCACTAATGTCCTTTAGAGAAGGAAACTGCCATCCTTACCTGGTCTGGCCTACATGTGACAACAGACCCACGGCAATGTTGTGGCCTCTTAACTGCCCTCTGGGCAATTAGGGATGGGCAATAAATGCTGTCTAGCCAGCGACGCCCTCATCCTGTGAATGAATAAAGAAAAAAAAAGAGCCCCTATCCTGCCTTTATACCGTGATGTTTTTAACTGATGTATCCTTTTACCATTCATTTTTTATCATGGTATAGTTTATCTATATTATTTCTGCACCTGTGAGATTTCTTACCATTATTGATAACTTTGGCTTTGCTATCATCCCTTCTTTATAAACTTTAGGCTGTTTTAATTTCTGCCAGAACAGTTCCCCCTTCCCCTAGGCTTTTATCAGTTTAAAGTTCTTTCTGCAACCCTATTTATCTTTTCAGCAGGAATTTATTCCCAGCCCAGTTCAGGTACAACTTATCATCTGGTCTTAATACTTATACTGGTGGCCTGTGAAATAACATCCCTCTTTTTTTTACATCAATCCCTATCCATGTTTCTTGATTGTGAGGTAAGTCTCATGATCAGGAGGCCTTAAGGAAGTTTGGGTTTAGGAAATCTTGTCACAGCTGTAGTTCAAACGTGAACAAAAAAGCTAAGTCCCATATGTGAAGTGAGAGTGACTGCCTTTGATAGCAAGGCCACATGACCAGTGCTGCAACAAAGAGCCCGAGCAAAATAGGAGTCAATGGGAATCGGAGGAAACTCTCTGCTGGTTGGAAGCCATTCCACGTGAAGGAAGATGGTTGTAATTGTTGGAGGTCAGTCATCTCAGTTCCAGGACATTGCTTTAGGAGTTCATCAGGGTAGTGTCCTAGGCCCAACTGTCGTCAGCTGCTTCATCAATGACCTTCCTTCAATTAAAGTCAGAAGCAGGGATATTTGCCAATAATTCTATAATGTTCAACACCATTTGTGACTCTTCACATGCAGAAACAGTCCATGTCTATATGTAACAAAACTGGACAACATCCAGGCATCAGCTAGTAAATTACAAGTAACGCCACACAAGTGGCAGGCAAGGACCACACCATTGACATTCAATAGTATTACCATTAATTAGAAGCTGAACTGGACTAGCTATATAAGTACAATGGCTATAAGAACAGGTCAGAGGCTAGGAATACTGCAGCAAGTAACTCACCTATTGATTGCCCAAAATTGGTCCACCATCTACAAGGCACAAGCAGAAGCATCATAGAATAGTCCCCACGAGTTTGCATGACTCTATCTCCAACAATACTCAAGAAGTCTGACACCATCCAGGACGAAGCAGCCACTTGAGTGGCACGACATCCACAAACATCTACTTTCTCCAACACTGACACGCAGTATGAGCAGTGAGTACCATCTACAAGATGCATTGCAGAAATTCACTGATGCTCCTGAAACAGCACCTTCCAAACCCACAATAATACCATTGAGAAGGACATGGGCTGCAGATACATGGGAACAGTACCACCTGCAAGTTGCCCTCCAAGCCAGTCACCATCTTGACTTGGTTAGCAGTGATTGCCTCAGCGGCCTTAACCCAATATCAGAACCATTACACTGGCATATCCATGTGGAATTCAACTGTGAATGTATTGGGATGCCTTCTTCAGCCTAGGTCATTCATGAAGATTGATGGCTAGGGTGAGTTTTGAAGGGTGCCACTATCCATGGAATTATACCTCAGCACATATGAGCTCCTTCAGGACCAGAGGGCTGAAAAATCATAGAAAAGGTAGTGTCACAGAAGCTTAAAATTTGAAGATTTATTAATATTATTAGGAGTACACTTCAGAGTTTATAGTAAAAACTGCATTAAAATATATAAATGCTATTACTGACTACAGATAATTCAGTTTGTATCCATAGGCTATCCTTTAGATTGTTAGACTGAACTTTGTCTGTGTACTTATTGAATTGAACCATTGTCTTTCCATAGGAGAAAGTTATGTCTGTGCATCTTTTGAACCATTTCGAAAAGTGGACTACACAAAGAATGTAAACCCTAACTGGTCAGTGAATGTAAAGGCAACTACAACTGCACGTACGCCAACATCTATCAGTAGTTCCAAAGCAAGTTCCACTGAGACTAAAGAAAATAAAGATTTCATTCGTCCCAAGCTCGTGACCATCATTCGGAGTGGTGTGAAGCCACGGAAAGCTGTTAGGATTCTTCTCAATAAAAAGACTGCACATTCATTTGACCAGGTTCTTGCAGATATCACTGATGCCATCAAGTTGGATTCAGGAGCAGTTAAACGTTTGTACACACTGGATGGGAAACAGGTATAGTCATATTGCTTCATAAACAAATGTTTTTCAGCAAAAGAATAGCTATAAGAATGCTCAATTAAATGAGTGATTAAATGGAGAGGAATTACTAATAGTAATTTACTATAATTTCACCTCTGATTTTCCTTTCACCATCAGTTGTAGTTATATAAAAGCTTTTTGTATGGCTCAGCATTTTGGTTTTTGAGGTATTACCTTTGGTTGTTGTAATTTTTGGTTGCTATTGAAAATGATATTTTATATTTGCTAAAATGTTCATCAAAATTTTGATCTGTGTATTTCACAGTCAAATAGCTGACAATATTCGATTTTTATATGCCAATAATAAATAGAAGATTGCAAAGAAAAGCAGAAATCAATGTCATATAGAGAAAAATTGACTCACCAGTGGGTTGATAAAATTACATAAGAAAGAAACTTTGTATATCTTCAAAGAACAATTGACGAAGTAATATCGAAGACTAGAGAAGATGGGAAAGTAACACCAGTTCAGAAAATGTACAAAAAGTAAGTTGTGTAGTTATACAAACGTTGCTTATAAAGACTTGCTGGAACTTGTTTTAGATACAAGCTGGAATAGGTCATTCACCCTGTCAAGCCTGTTGCACCATTTGGTGAGATTATGGCTGGTGATCTACCTAAAAGTCATTCTCCTGCAATTTCCCATATCCCTTGGTGACTTTACGATGATGTCTTAGATATGCCATATAATAATTTAAAGTGTTTGTGTTAAGATAGAAATGCATTGCTTTTGCTTCTTAATAGTAATATTAAAAAATAGATGAGGATTATATTGTTGATGGTGAAGTTAATGTTGTTAAGGTTCAACAACAACACTGCAGAGGCAGAAAATACAAGATACTGGAAATATACAACAGGTTAACAAAGTTAATGTTTCAAGTTGATTACCTTTTACCGGACCAGAACCTTTCTGACCTGAAACATGGAGCTGTATTTTCCCAGCCTCATGCAGACAACTGTGGAGGTGGAGCAAACGGGCAAATATGAAGGAACAATGCTGAACAGCATTCTACTGCATACCTGCCTCTGGGCATCTTTCTCTGGGGCTGGATTTAGAGAAAATCAGTTGTCTGCTCTGCAGAGATGCTTAGTTAATGCCCCAAATTGGGCTGATATTTGTGATATTTGCAGGTGGTACAGCAACCTCCACCACCTTAACACCACGCCAGCGCCCCAACCTTCATGTGCAGAGACAACAGCTCAATGATAGAGGTCTGCCTGTGGCAATTGTAAATCTGTTGGAGCCATAGGATCTATGTAGCAAAGAGAAGCTTTTGCTTATAAAAGATCACAGTTGTAACTGAAACTGAAGGCAGTTTTCCCTCCACCTCACTTGCCTTATATTTTCATCCCTTTCGTTTTCATTCCATGAAATTCAGGCCTATAATTGGGAGCTTCCGCACTGAGTCACTCTTGCAGTCTGTAAAGTACCTGAGCCACCTTTCCTGGTGGGGCTGCTGATTCTCTAGAAAGCACTGAGATCCCACCCTTCCTGGCTTGGACTCAAACTTAGAGGCAGCCAATTAAGAGACCTCCTCTGATCATGCTCCTGACATTAGGGTCAGCGATCCAAGGGAAAATTCCAAATCCTTACCATCTGTAGAGAGAGAAACAGAGCTATTGCATCTGCTGAGTATGTCCAGCATTTTCTATGTTAGTTCTTCCAGTATACTATTCAGGAAAAATACAACCTTTCAAAGTTAGTACCTTATATGGATGAAATTGCATTTGGAAAATCGTCACATTCCCATAATAATGACAACACTTAAAAGCCAGAGTGTATTCTTAAGATAGTTTTCTCATTTTTAATTATGTGTTTAACTTCTATCAATCTTGAATAATCAGGAAGTCCCACATAACTATTTTAAGCATAGAAATTGTGATCTCATTGGCTGTAGTTGAACTGGCCCAGTGGAGAAATCCTTTGTTGGGCAGAAGGTCAACAAATATTGAAGAGGGAATCAGTCTATGTGTGCCAATAACTATTATAAAAAGTCTAAGTGTTAAAATAAAACACAATACCATAATTTTATATTGTGAAGCAGTATAGATTTCAACATTCACCGTACTGATAAAGATGAATATAGGCTGGTATTCTGATTTGTATTGTCAACAGAAGAATGTACAGCTAATAAATGGATGGATTAATTAGCTGAATCTCCAAAATGTTATGCACATTTGTTGTAATGAGTCACTTCCAAAATGAAAATTGTAGAGGAAATAGATCAGACACAATTTTATTACTTTGTTACTTGTATCTCAAATATTCCCATGGAGGTTTTGTTCTTATCCGTAAAGTAATTCAGGAAGTCAAAGTTAGTAGAGATTACATTAATTTTAAGAAATAAATGGGAGTAAGCCAATAAATTGTCTCTTACCAATATTCTTGATTCATGTATATGGTTGAATTTAATATATACCTTCAATTGTTTGACAGTAATGTTCTGCTTGTTTGAAGAGCCTGTCTTACCAATTACTATTCTCCTGACATTCTATAATGAATAGTTTAACCATTCTACTTTCTTCAGCATATTGATAGCAAATGGAAACTTATCTATGATTTTAAAAAAACACAAAAACAAAAACCACATCTTCTTAATTTCTGCTAATACCACAGAATATGTGGAGGTTGAGATTTTTTGGTGTACAAACCTCGTGTGGATACTGACTGAACCAGTATTCCTATCCTGTGTTAAGTTGATAAGTATAGAATAATACAATTGCGTAACATTTTTAGAATAACTGAAATTCAAAGGTTTATTTTACAAAGAATACATTATTTCTAGTTGCAAAGCAGCAAAACAGTAATACGCTGGTATGTTGATATTTTTTAAGTATTCAGTGATTAAGTCGTAATGGGATCATTTCTTCCTGGGTTTGCCAGTGCAATTAAAACTTATTTAATTTTTGCTTCTGTTTATTAATATAGCTTTGTGTCATTTTGCCTTGTCTACATGAATATTCACCCATGACAGTAGTAGATAGGATCAGCCCTGTTCTATTCAGTACAATGCAGATTCATATAATGCTCAAAGTTGGTGCAATGGGTTGATCAAGGATGAAATATTATTAGAATCTCAATGCAGTTCTGGAAAGTTGAAATTATTTTTGAGAACACTCAGCTAACTTTGGAAACTGGAGCAGGACAAATGAATTAGACACTGATGGAGCTATTTTAATTGTGTATTCTTGACCATATTTAGAGCTGGTGTCACTGAGCTTAAAGAACAACTATTTTCTAGTTTTAAAATTTAAGAGAAAGGCTTTAAATGCACTTACACCTTGAGTTTTTATTCAAATTGAAGTATATTCTAATGAATGGAATGTGGTAACATGCATAGGAAGTTGGTTAAATGGTTAGGAGATGGATGTTTTTCAGCTTGAAATGATGTAGTCAGTAACATCCATGATGGGGGTGGGGGCAGGTAGTGGAAGGGTCAGTTTTAGAATCATTGACCTTTTTTTGAATGATGTGTACCTTAGTACAGAGGTAACAACACCAAGAATAAAAACTTTTTCGAGCATGATTTAGTATGATTTGCCTCCAGCAGCAATGCTTATGTTAACTTCATAATATAAGAAACTGGGTGTGAATATCATAGTGTTGAAGAATCTAACAGACATTATTTACAACTAACAATTATATGCAGGTATTGCATTCCTTAGGTGCTTAAGTTTCTGGGCTAGTATTTAGCTATTAATTTACAACAGATGATCATACCTCCAGTACAGCATCATGCTTCAAGTGATTCAAGATAGGATAGAAAATGAAAACTTTATGCCCTAAGGTCACATGCCGTGTTAGTCATGTCATATGATCGTATCTCTTAAACGTGTACTGAGACATGACCCAACATCCAACTTTCTCCAAAGATATAAACTTATCCTAAAAAGATACACAAGCTCGTACATAGGCATGTATTGTCAATTTGATAATTATACAAAATTTATAACATTTTACAAAACTAATATTCCAATCTTCAATGTAGCGCTTTGGAGTTTTTGACAGCTTGTCATATCTGCTGATCGTATACCCGTCTGGAGAGATGTGTGTTGTTCTCTGTTGTGCCTGTTTGATAACTTGACTGGTCTTGTTGCTGGTTGCTGTCATTCAGCATCACCACATAATCATCATTGGAGCATTTTTCCTCACTGTCCTTGGGCATGACAGCTGTGTGGGACATTGGCCTGAACTAGCTTCTGTTTCCTTTGTAATGTAGCACTGTCAATAATGACTTCATATGATCTGGGCTAGTTGCACATTTTAGAAAATTTTCCTAACATATGAGTATTTGGATTTCTGACTCATTTCCTCTGTCTAGTGCACATTTTAGCAGTTCTCTAACTGAATATTTTTCATATATCTCTTTCATTCTGTTCTGTCTCTGAAGATTAATACCCAGTGCCTAGGAATGTTTAGACAGTTGCTTGCTGAACAAAGTGTTTTGCACTTGTCGTCAAAGCTCAGGTTGTGCTGGGGATGGTAATGCCTTCTGGATAGGCATTGTGTTTATATGCAACACAATGGGAAAATCTTGCTTTGTAAATCTTGCTTTGTTGCTTGACACTTCATGATCATTGATTTTGTAGTACATACCATTATATTCTGCTAGGTTATTTGAATATGGATGCTGGGGTGTTGATGTTACTCACTGACTTAGTAAATATCTTGAAACAATTTGTCAGTGAGTGGTGATTCATTGAATGACACTATCCATCTCTGGACACCAAATAAAATAAAAAGAGCTTAATAAACTGAAAAATTATGCCAACCGTAGTCATACTTCCATTGCTAAGTCATCAAACAATGGGAAATATGGAGAAGTAATCCATTGTGTAATCCTTCCCATAGATTTTGAGTAGGGCTGTTGCTACTTTTGTCCAAGGAGTGGATGGAACATTGTGTGGATATGAAAGCTCCCTCCCCGGGTTCGATATGTTTGGCATGCCTCACATGCATTCACAAGTTGTTG